ATGATAAAACATGTAATAGCCATGGTAAAACATGTAATAGCCCCGGTAAAACATGCAATAGCCCTCATAAAACATGCAATAGCCACGATAAAACATGTAATAGCCACAATAAAACATGCATCAGCCCTGGTAAAACATGCAATAGCCATGGTAAAACATGTAATAGCCCCGGTAAAACATGCAATAGCCCTCATAAAACATGCAATAGCCACGATAAAACATGTAATAGCCACAATAAAACATGCATCAGCCCTGGTAAAACATGCAGCAGCCCTGGTAAAACATGCAGCAGCCCTGGTAAAACATGCAATAGCCATGGTAAAACGTGTAATAGCCATGGTAAAACATGCAATAGCCCCAGTAAAACGTGCAATAGCCCTCATAAAACATGTAATAGCCATGGTAAAACGTGTAATAGCCATGGTAAAACATGTAATAGCCCTGGTAAAAAGCCCTCATAAAACAAATAATGGGTGTAATAGCCCGTGTAATAGCCATGGTAAAACATGTAATAGCCCTGGTAAAACATGCAATAGCCCTATAAAACATGTAATAGCCATGGTAAAACATGTAATAGCCATGGTAAAACGTGCAATAGCCATGGTAAAACGTGTAATAGCCCTGGTAAAACATGCAATAGCCCTCATAAAACATGTAATAGCCATGGTAAAACGTGTAATAGCCCTGGTAAAACATCCAATAGCCCTATAAAACATGCAATAGCCCTGGTAAAACATGCAATAGCCATGATAAAACATGTAATAGCCCTGGTAAAATATGCAATAGCCCTGGTAAAACATGCAGCAGCCCCGGTAAAACACGCCGTGGCACACGCAATGCCCTGCACGGCGTGCAGCAGCCCGGGCTGGGTGCAGGGCGTTGGGGTAGCAGGACCCATCGCCCACGAGTTGTTCATGCGACCGGCAACGCGGCGCTTCGTGCCTTCACCATCGCCTCCAAAATCCCCGAGGGAAAATAAACGGAGCTTTAGGTGCAGCGAAACCCACTGGCGCCGGCCCTCATCCGGGCTGCGGTCTCACTGGGAGCCTCGGGAGCACGACGGCCCTTTTCCCACCGTTCCTTCACTGTTATTCTTTTTAACAGCCAGTGAGGCCATGGGTGCACCCCGAAGTTGTTCGCTGAACGGGGCTCTAACATAACGCCGGCGCTGGCAGCGCCGAGGAGGTTTGGAGGGATGGAACAAAATCACCTTCCTGCCCATCTTTTAACAAGATGGGAAAACCCCGGAGTTAAGATCAGCAGAGCCTCTCTTGCCCTCCACGTGCCATTGCCCCTACAAAATGCTTCCCAGGGCACTGTGAACACCCCGGGCAGGAACGCTGGGCACCCCTGGGTGCCAGGGGTGCTTTGGTTCTGTGTTGTAGAAGGGCCAGGCAGGGCATGTGCTGCATGTGTTAAGCAAAAAAAGAATAGAATGGAATAGAACAGAATAGAATAGAGAATAAAATATGGAATAGAAAATAGAATAAAATAGAAAATAGATTAAAAAGTAGAATATAGAATAGAATAGAATTGAATAGAATAAAATGGAATGCAGAATCTAGAATCTAGAATACAGAATACAGAATAGACTAGAAAGTAGAATATAGAATAAACAGAATATAGAATAAATATAGAATATAGAATAAAGTAGAATATAGAATATAGAATAGACTAGAAAGTAGAATATAGAATATAGAATAAACATAGAATATAGAATAAATATAGAATATAGAATAAAGTAGAATATAGAATATAGAATATAGAATATAGAATATAGAATATAGAATAGAAAGTAGAAGAATATAGAATAGAATAGAAAGAATATAGAAGAGGATAGAACATAGAATAGAATATAGAATAGATAGTTCAGAGGGACCTACAAGGTGGAATAAAACTGCTGGAGTGTCTCCATATAGCCCGGCACGCTGCTACAGGGAATGCAGGAGAATGGCAGGGTCAGGGCTAGGATTGATCCACACGAAATTAGGAAAAGCAAAAGGAAAAATTGCGGTGCCAAAACCTCAAGTTGTTTATTTGGGGAAGTTTGGGACATTCAGTACAGTCTTGAGGCTCAATAAAATCTAGTAATTCAAGAGAAAAGATTACCTTTTTATTCTGCGGGGTAATCGCAAGCGCGGAGACAGAAAGGTGGAAGAAGGAGCTACCGAACTGGAACAAATGTTAAAAAATGGTTTGATTAGACCAAAACAGTTTCTAACTTGATGGTTTCCTCCTCGCTTGTACTGGAGCTGCTCAGAAATCCCAGAGGAGGGCTGGGTCCTGCTCGGTGTCTGTCACCTCTGGAATTTCCTCCTGATTTATTCCACACTGGAGAAACACCTGAGAAAAGAAAAAAAAAAGAAGTTATACAGGTGTTTTTTTTTCTTTCTTTCTACTTGGCCAAAAGCTTTCTCAGGAAATTGTATTATTGGCCACGGATAAAATGAAGTACTGCTAATGGTGACCTAGTTGATTTTTCATATCTGCCGAATTGCAGCAAGGAGATAAGGAAATCAAAGATAGCCCAGTTGCCCCAATCAAGTAAGAGAAACAAGGTTTAGAGGAACAGGAAAAAATAATGCCCCACTTCAGCTTTTGGGAGACCTTCCCACGCTGCACACAATTTTGCCAGGTGTGGGACAAACTTCTGCCCAAGCTATGAGGTGTTGCCTGCATTGAAACCCTCCTTATGGGAGGGGGTCCGAGGAGGTGGGAGCCATTAGCTTTTATTTAAAGAGGAAAAGGTGATCCATGATATCCAGGGAAGGAGTAGGAGACAGCCAAAGAGAAGCAAAATCCTTCTGCGTGCAATAAATTAGATTAAGGGGACAAGAGACAAAAAATTTAATAGAGGGAAGAGAAGCTGCAGCAGACAAACAAACAAGCGGCACAAACCTCCACAACTACTGAGAAATAAACATTTAATTAAAAACCCAATCGCTAAAGAAGCAGGAAACGTTCCCTCAGCTCCACGGATGCAAAGTGAAGTCTGAACAGCTTATTCCTAGTTAGAGAGACCCGAATTAAAATTTTGTATGTCTGTTTTGTCAAAATTTCAATTAATTAAAACTCAGGCCATCCCACCATCGGCGTCTGTTTTACGGAATGAAAATCAGATTCCCAGCTGGTACCTGGTGCCTTTGGCTGGAGAACAAGACGGATCTGCAGCTTGTCCACCAAACATTCCTGCGTCATCACCGAAATCACTGGGACAGAAACTTTGCAGGTTTCAGCCTGGGCACGAGAGCAGAGCCCGTTTCTGACCCGTTTCTCATACTGGGTGGGTGGCTGCAGAGCCCGGGATGCAGCCGGGAGCCGAAGCCCACGGATGCGCCGGCCGGTGCTCTCGTACTCAGCCACCATCCCGTTCTCAGAGGTAAAAATCACTCAACTCAAGCGGCACTTGGCTGCCGACTTCGGCAGAGCGAGCCGGTGGTTCCACCGGGACAGCTCACGGATACATTAAATCTATTAAAGTTACCCAAAGCCGTGCCCTAGGCGGGACTTTTCATCCCACCGCTTTGAGTTTGCTTGGATGCGGCTCCACGCCTTCCTTCCAGGCAATTTCACAAATCCTAAAGAAAACACCTTAATTTTCCTTCCCCCTTTTTGAGAGACTAATCCCAGGAAACCACCCGCTCCCCACAGCACCTGTAATCCATCCCTCCTGCTTTCCATCAACTCCGGCACCTCTTCTGCTGCCGACTGCCACCTTCCATCCAACCGCCCGTGTCGGCAATCGGCTCCGATGCCATCCCTTCTCCGCTCGATACCGCTGCTCTGGCACTGATGCCACAAACTATTCAAGGCAGGAGCTGCCTCTTTGTCACACTTCGACGCCGTGGCTCAGCGCGAGGGGCGGAAGGCTTCTCCAAGAATTCAAATAAACGCCGGCATGGAAGGAAAAGTACCAAGCGACACACTAATTCACATAAAAACTTTATTAGAAACGAGGACGCAGCCTCCCAGGAACAAAAATACGCCATCTCCCAACTTCTTACAATGTAACGGTCACCATTAAATACCAGTAGCTACAAAAACGGTGTGTACACCTACAAAAGAAGGAGAACTAACCCTCAAACGGCCGTTGTTTCCAACATGGCTGGAGAAAGTATTTTTCCAGGGCGGTTTGCACGCACGCGGGCACGCAGCGGCTCACCGAGGCCGTGAGCTGGCACGCTGGCACGCTGCGGGTGGAGGGGGTTTTGTTGCTTTTTTGTCCTACCAGCCAGGACGGGTTTTGATCTGATCAGAAGTCTGTATGGCTTTAATTCTGAGAGAGAAAAGAGCAAACTGTTATGGCTTGATATCGCATCCGATACGTTACGCTGGGTAAATAGCCGGTACTTTCAAATCTTAAAATCCCACAAAAGTGAGTGTTATCACTAGTTTTACTTCAATGGTAAATAATAGTAACTAATAATAATAATAAAAGAGGTACTAGTGCTGCCACAGAAAGAGACCAGCCTCATTCCACCACCGACAGATGAGAAAATAAAGGATAAACAGGTTTTATAAAAGCCTCTTCTCTACTCATACCCAAAAAACTACCTCCTGTCTAATCTCAGACCAGTTTTAACAGCGCCAATTTTTATCACGTCAGCCGCGACATTAAGTCACGCTTGTGATTCAGCCACGTACTACGTAGTGCAAAACACACGCACCAAAAAGAGGAAAAATACTTAAAAATATATCCATTTCTCAGTTTCCTTACGGATGTTCTCCATGTCGTGCTGTAAAAAAATAATTTAAAGCAAAACAGACATAGAAAAGCTATTGTGCTCAAGTCAGCGGCGTATGTACACGTTAAAATCGGAGCTACAAAAAGTACTCTAGTAGCAAAGGCAATACGTAATATTTTACATCAAGAGTGTCTGAAAAGTATAAAATTGGGAAATAATGCATAGGAGAGCGCGTTTCGCAGGCCCTGCAGCCACGCGCACGAGCAAATCCTTGCGGCGTAAGCAGAATTTACACCGGATCCCGAGACAAGCCACTCATTGCCTACAGAACTCGCTGGTTATGTTGGGAAGGGGGTAGGCAAAGAGGGAGAAATCCAGGATATATTTTATTAACAGCTCTTTTATCAGCCGGCGTTGGGTGTTGCACAGGTAGTAATGGAGCGTTTCTGCCGTCACGGGCTTGTACCACGACTGTCGCTCGGGGAAGCGGACGAAGGAGGGCGACCGGACCCGCTGGAGGACGTAGTCGGCGTCGG